CAAACATACCAATGACTGTGAGGATGGCACAGTATCGGGCAGTGTTTCATCCTGTTTCACATAGGATCGCTATGAGTCAGAACTCACTCAACAGCACTTAACAATACCACAACCTAAGGGGAATAGTGCATACCACCACTACCCACTTTGTTCAGAACAAATGTACACTAAAATACAGGAAATTCTAGTCAAGTGTAGGTTTTATCCCGTCATTCGATAATTCCACTCCCAGCAATGTAACCTAGAACAGTAATTTTCAAATTGTGCATCCTATCAATTTAGTCATGATCAGTTTTTTCCCCCGGTGAAAAAGAATAGAAAATATCAAAGTGCACTTGAAGGTTTATTTCAGATTTACATGTACACCCACACACATGTTCAAACATAAATTTCCTCCTGTGAGTTATAGCGAGAAAATCTTGAAAGCTGCTACTCTACAGTGCATATGCAAGAGTTCCTTGAGGGCAATTAATGGCTTTCAAATATTTTGGAACTTCAACCACAGTGGCAATACATTTTACATCACAATCCAAATACTGCCCCCCACGCACACATTGATATTTAACTGTAAATAAATGTCACAAAACTTTATCTCTGCTTACTACATAGTCACAAAGACAGTGGGGAAATACTAAATGAGAGAAACTTTTGAGAGTGTTCTCCCAGAGACAGGGATAAGAACATTCAATGCAGTATTGTTCACAATAGCATAAAGTGGATACAATCCAAATGTCCATCAAGAATGCTTAATTGTAGTATATTCACCATAATCATACAATGGAATATCACATAGCAGTAAAAATGAATTTTGGAAGCCTAAAACATGAATGAATCCCAAGAACATAACTGGGTGAAATTTATAATTTGTAAAAGATGACATACAGTTTGACACCATTTATATAAGGTTCAGAAACATGTAAAAGTAGACTATATTGCTTAGAGATATGTCTGTTAAAAATATCTGAAAAAACTAAAGAATGATAAATGATAGATACAAAAATTGGGATAATGGTTACCTCTGAGTAGAGAGGGAAGAATATGTTAAAGGTGATAATTTTTTTTTTTAAGTGAAAGTTCAAACACCAAACCTACCATCAAGTCGATTCCGACTCATAGCGACTGTATAGGACAGAGCAGAACTGCCCCACAGAGTTTCCAAGGAGCGGCTGGTGGATTTGAACTGCTGACCGTTTGGTTAAGCAGCCAAATGCTTAACCACTACACCACCAAGGGCTTCTCAGTGAAAGTTAGGTATATGGATATTTTTTGTACCATTATTCTTTACACCTTACATATCTTCTATAAATGTCCTTTATAGCCATTCAATATTTACTTAAAAAAAAAAAAATTTAAAGCTTAGCGGGTAATAAGAATCTGCCTTATGACTCCCAGGACAAAGGGCCAATCTAAAACGGAACTACTGAATCCAGCCATAGTGGGGAATAATACTGAGACTAACTCTTTGTCAACTATTCACTCATTCATTCAACAAGTATCTACTGGGCTTGTTCTAAGTGCTGGGTATTATTTTAGATGCCAGGGGTACAGCAGTAAACAAAACAGATTCAAAAAACCCCTGTCCTTGCAAATGCGTCTCTAGCATCACTGGCCTGGTATTCAGGATCTGATGTAACCAATTAACATATTAACTGCTGGGTACCCTTCCAAATGATGCTTAGGACACATATCCTACCCCAGGGAGAGGAAGGTCAGAAAAGGCTTTTCAAATAGCCAAGACAGTCAGGGCTCTGAATAGAACCTCTTATTCCAATTTCCCTTTACCTAAAGCCATGTATTTACTTTTTGAAGGATTAGAATTTGCATTCCAAAGACTCTGATCTGCCATTTTGATGAAAATCATCTCAAGGAAATGACATCAGGTTTTCATCTGAGTCCCTTATGTTTCTCACAACTACTTAGTCTTAAATTTTGGAGGAAAATAACCTATTTTTTTTTCTTTTCTGGTTACATTCTTTACGAGAATGACTCAGCAGCAATGGGTTTGGTTTCAGCATGAGGTAGACTTGCTGGGTGTTCCCTGTTCTGGCAATCAGACCCAGGAGGAGGTTTACAGGGTTATTCACTATGATGCCAGGAGGGTGTGGCTCTGTACCAGACACCCAGCATGCTGCAAGGCCATAAAGGGGGCAGGAGGGGAGATAAAAAAAAAATAAAGGTATCATACTTCCAAGAAGGATCTACTTCACCACCCTATTATGAAAGAGTCCTTTTGCCTGGTCTTTTGTTACTATTAGCACAAAAAGACAAGAAGTCATGCATGCTGTGCCTTCCTGCTCTTTACTTCTCCAGCCTTATTAATAACTTTAAATTCAGTCGATTTCAACTCAAAACTTTATGCCAGCAGGGGAGGAGGAAATGGGAAAAGATTTGTGGCTGCATCTTCAAGAAAGAAGGTGAATTCATCACGGTGACAGGGGAGAGTGTTGGCAGAGATCTGAGCTATTTATTCTTTTAGGAAAATCTTATAAAGAATGACACAAGGAAGCCTCTATCTGCCGTCTTGTTCATCACACTGGTGTAGAGTCTGGTAACAGATGTATGCAGTAGCGTGATTTAGTGCCAGGAGCTGGCCCCTGATGTGTATTAATACAGTGGCAAAGCAGAACGCACCTCTCTTCATCACTCATTTCTATAAAAGAGGTGGAATCTGAGATGGCCCGATGCTAGGCAGAGCAAGCCCATTTGTTCTACTGACTGATGGTGCCAGCTTGGGCTATGTCCTTCACCTCCATGGGGCACTCAGGTTGTGGGTGGAAAAAAAAAATAAAAGAAAATTCTCAGTGAAGCAGGGCTCAGTCAACAAGTGAGAGGAGAGGAGTTGGGCTCTGTGAGGGAAATGTTCACTGTTCAAGTCTTGTTTAATACTGAGCTGTATGTTTCCTGATTTGAATGTAGAATAAGGATTTTAAACTCTTCCCAACAGTTCCCTTATGAAGAACTAAAGGCTAAAAATAGAAGCTAGATATTAAGGAGAAAAATAAAGAACAAGATAAAAGAGGGGAGAATTGTTTTTATGCTTAAAATACCCCAGACCTGAGAAGGATCTAGGTTTTCATGCGGGGGTCATAGTTTGGCACCAATCCTACTGCATGTAAAAAGACAGAACCCCTGCAGGGCTTCAGAGGACAGCTCTAGTGTCCAGGGGACTTGGTGTGATCTTGGCTCTGCAATTTATCAACCATGGAATCTGGGGAAGTGATTTAACCTCTCTAAGCCTCAATTTCCTCATGAGTAAACATGAGTAAACCACCTCACAGGGTTGTTGTAAAGAGGGTGTGAAATAATGCATGCAAGCTGTTCAGTTCAGGGCCTGTCCATGTGGAAAGCACTCAAAAATATGTTTACTATAATCATCAGACCGTGATTAAGATTGTCCAGATGAAGATGAAGTATGGGCCATCATCAAGCAGCCATCCCAAACAAAAGCTCGAAGTCAATTTCAGAGTATACCAAAACTTAATAAGTAATGGTAAACTAAAAAGAAAAAAAAACCAGTTGATTCTGACTCATGGTGACCCCATGTATATCAGAAGAACTATGCTTCAGAGGGTTTTCACTGGCAGAATTTTTGGAAGTAGATTGCCAGGTTTTTCTTCCAAGGCATCTCTGGGTGAACTCTTCCAACCTTTCAGTTAGCAACTGAGCATATTAACTGCCTGCACCACCCAGGAATCTTTAAGTAAACATGATAATAATCCAAAACTCATAATCCAAAAACTCATTGGTGTGGAGTCAATTTTAACCCATAGTGACCCTACAGGACAGAGTAGAACTGCCCCATAGGGTTTCCAAGGAGCGGTTAGTGGATTCAAACTGCTGACTTTTTGGTTAGCACCAAACTCTTAACCACTGCACTGCCAGGGCACTTAAGTAAAGGTAGGGGGTAAAATTCTGTTATCTATCTGAGGTCTACTCTTTACTTAGTTAGCAATTGCTCTGCTCTATATAATATATAGTACTTCCTGGAGAAAATAAAACAATCTATGATATAGTCAGCTCCATCACAGTGAACTCACCATCACCAAGAAAATAACTCTAGGTACTTCTGATAGGTCCTGCAAACAGATATGATCTTTTTATTCAGGGCTATTCACCCTAAACTGTATTGAAATAACACCAAGGATATCCTATGATTATTACTTATGTTTAACTATCTTTCTCTTAGCTCCAAAGAAAAATATCTACAGACATCCAATATTCTTGCTGATACAAATACATAACCATCCTTTTTTTAACCCCCATTTAGGGGTCACATACATGCAGTATAAATTTAGTGCATAAATCTTAAGAGTAGAGTTCAATGAATTTTTACATATGCAAGCACCATCTAACCCCCACCCAGTTCATGATCTGAAACATTTCCAGCACCTTAGAAGGCTTCTTTGTGCCCCCTCTTGATCAATACCTATGACGAAAAACAACCACTATTTTGGCTTCTACCAACTACTGTAAGTTTTGCCAAAAAAACTAGACGGCTTTAACTTGAAAAAATTGTTTTTAATTAGAAATCTCATGACCAGTGAAATGTTACCACTCTACTGTATATTAAAGCAGTGAGAGTATATTGCGCTGCGTGCCAAATAAAGTAAATAAAAACTCACATGGCTCCTTGACTACTGACAAAACTGCCACTCCTACTGGATTTTCATTAACATGGACCTAGTTTTCCTCTCTGTGCTAGAAAAGCTCGTATGATTGAAGACTGTTCTGAAGACTGATGGAATACAGGGATTCAAACTCAAGAAAGCTGTGTGACACGGTGAAAAAGCACAGGCTTCAGGCTCAGACAGAACTGGGTTTGAATTCTTAAAATATGTGTGACCTTGGGCAAATTACTTCTCACAGGCTGTTTTCTCATGTAAAACGGGAATAAAACGGCCTATCTTACTGTAAGGATTAGATGGAAAAGTATATAAAACTCAGCGTGTAGTGCCTGACACACAGTAGGTACCCAATAAATGATAACTACCTATAATTACCTGCATTTGGGCTAGACAGAGATGCTGTGGCCACAGGTTTCCGTTTCCTCTTAACGTCACGTGAACACGGTGGTCCCAAGTGTATGCTTGCCTGTCTGCAGGTACGAGAAAGAGAAAATATTGTTTGAACTTTGTAATTCTTATTTTAAGACATTATGCTCAGCCCAGAGGAAATCCTCAGCCCGTCATAGGTATATACTAACATGAAATGGGCACCATCTTTGGACATCAAGTGTCAGCACCAGATTATTCAGAATTAATCATAAATCACTCTTTACCCACAATACATACCTACTCTAAACTTTTTACCTAGTTTCAGAGTAACAGACATTCAAGACTAATTTCAATAAATATCTGTATCATTACATGCTGATTTCTGAAGGATTTTTCATAAAAACTGTAAGTGCAATTTTTCTAAATTGACTAATGAAATACCTACCCCCAAGTGGTAATATATTGGAAAGTTTAATGCTGCATGAACACAGATATTTGCATAGAATTTTAATAGCAAGTTTAACCCTTCTACCACTACAAAGATGGATTTTTAAAAGGGTGTATATGGCACAGTGGTTAAGAGGTTGGCAAAAAGCTAACCAAAAGCTCAGTAGTTCCAATCCACCAGCTGCTCCACAGGAGAGGGTTGTGGCAGTCTGCTTCCATGAAGATTTCAGCCTTGGTAATCTTTGGAAACCCTTTGGGGCAGTTCTACTCTGTCCTATAGGGTCACTGCGAGTCGGAATCGACTCCATGGCAACAGGTTTGGTTTGGTATACCACGAGTTAACTAAGTTTGGTTCCTGTGACTTTTTAAAATATTAATTATGTCCCAATCATATGTTCATTGATCTGAATATTCAGTTTATTTTAAAAACAAAACATTAAGAGCTTCAAAGCTAGAAGAGCAAAGGATTCTGTGAAAGACAATGGACTTAACACTGAAATAACTGGTAGGCTGTTTTAGTTTACCATTATCCTCCATTTTCTCCTTCCTCTTAAACTACATAGTGCCAACCCTTGATTAAGGCCAAACAAGTCTCATCTCCTTTGCGCAAAGCTTTCCTTGAATATTTGAGACCTTACCTATCATGAATCATTATTTAAATGGCATACACAAAATGGTATACGCGTATCTTGTTTCCCTAATGCAGCTTAATCTCCTTGAGAACAGGGACTATGTTTATACATCTTTCATAATTTTCCAATGACCTACAAACCTCAGCACAATGCACACAGCTGATCCCCTTAAATATGTGTTGACCAGACCTAATATGAATGAATGGAAGTTCTAAAACCTAAACACTCAAAGTACATAACAGATTAAAAATCAAATCTAGTGAAATTATACAGATAAACTCTTAATTGGTGGTCCCAGTTAGGAACCAATTCTCGTATCTTAATAGTCTTAAAACTGGAACCTCAGATAAACCTGGGAGAACCTAGTTAGGCAACAGACAACTGTTGAATGGACAAATTTTCCCTTTCAGAGGACCCCAATCTGGCAACTTCCACAATTTAAAAAAAAAAAAAAAGACACACACACACATATTCATTTCTCTAAATGGCATGAACTTAAGAATCAATTCACTTGATAAACAGAAAAAGGTAAGAATTTAATGGGAATGCTAAAAAAATTTTTAGAATGCAAAGATCACTCTAATAGGCAGAGATTTATAATATGAAGTCTGTGCTTTGGAAAATTCCATCCAAATCACCTTTATTGATCACTCTTCTCCTGTGTGGAAAAGAGTTAACTTTAAGTATCCCATGAATAGTTAGTTCTGAAACCCCGAAGTGTAAGTATAAATGTGCAACGTGGGGAAAAAGTTCTTTTTCATATCTTAGGTAAATCCTAAGATAAGTGTAAATCAGCATGCTGATTTAATATGAAGTAACACAGATGAGGACTAAGGTGTGCCTGATCCAAGCCATGGTGTTTTCAATCGCCTCATATGCATGCGAAAGCTGGACAATGAATAAGGAAGACCAGAGAAGAACTGACACCTTTGAATTGTGGTGTTGGCAAAGAATATGGAATATACCATGGACTGCCAAAAGAACGAACAGGTCTGTCTTGGAAGAAGTACAACCAGAATGCTCCTTAGAAGCAAGGATGGCCAGACTACGTCTTACATACTTTGGACATGTTGCCAGGAGAGATCAGTCCCTGGAGAAGAACATCATGCTTGGCAAAGTACAGGGTCAGCAAAAATGAGAAAGACCCTCAAAGAGATGGACTGACACAGTGGCTTCAACAATGGGCTCAAGCATAACAACAACTGTGAGGATGGTGCAGGACCAGGCAGTGTTTCGTTCTGTTGTTCACAGTGTTGCTATGAGTCAGAACCGACTCGACGGCACCTAACAATAACAGCAACAACACAGATGACAGAATGTGAAAGGTTGGCAGGCCTTCAGTCTGAATGGAGAGGTGACAATTCCCTTAGAAGTCAAAGGCACAGGCAGAAAAAGAAGCAACAGTATTTATATTTTTTCCTCATCAAAAGAGAGAAATGCACTGAATGTAAAGAATAGTTTCCATCTTTTCCACAAACAAGGTACTTGAGTATATACAGACCCAAACTCAACTCTCCAAGCACTGTGATCTAATTCAGTCATGCTTATCCTAAAGTATTTCAGAAAGAAAGAGAAGTCAAACAGAAGCTAACAGTTGATCTTCACATTTCTTCTTTATCTTAAGCTCATTAAAGGAATCTCTAAAATTTGTTGGATTAAATTAGTTGCTTCAAACTAATCTATGGTATTAGATGCCAGAATGGCTGTTACCCTTGGGCTGTAAGGACAGGAAGAGGAGAGTGGCTAGAAGAAGAACGGAGCACTTTTGGGTTCCTTCTAGTGATGTTTTGTTTCTTGATCTGGATGCTGGTTACCTGGATATGTACTTCACTGTACATATGTTATCCTTCAATAAAAAATTTAATTAAGAAAATACTGCTTCTTCAAGATCAGTATTTACAATATGGTGAGATTTATAAGACATGCAAAATGAAAAGCGTAAGGCAAAAAAGTACTCAAATGGGTATTAAGATATTAATTCTCAGAGTATCGTCTTGGGCTGAACTAAATAAATACTGCCATTTATTTACACCTCATCTATCCTTTTCACAGCTTTGTATGTTTGATATATGTCAGTAAGATGATTAAGGGCAGACAGTATCACTCCTTTATGGATCTAGTCAATAACATTTATCTCAAATTTTCAAGAAATGACACATTTTGGAGTAAAAAAATGAAACCATTTATGCACCAAAATGTTTATATTTTTAACCATTTTTAATGGAAATACAGTGGTTTTTTCAATGCTTCTTTTAGCAAAATGAAAATAATAAATATTACCCATCATTATGCACGAAGCCCTAGCGGCACAGTGGTCAAGATCTATGGCTGCTAACCAAAAATCCACCAGCTGCTCCTTGGAAACCCTATCGGGCAGTTCTACTCTGTCCTATAGGGTTGCTATGAGTTAGAATCGACTTGATAGCAACAGGCTTGGTTTATCATTATTCACATAGTTTATTATACTGCCTATATTCTGCAATATCCTCAGAAGCTGCTGTGAACTCAATGGCTCACGTGGTCCTTGCCTTGACCCTTTGAGTGATGCTCTTCAAGCCACTCCTTTCCTGATTCCCAGAGTAGGCCCAGATCCCCAGCCTTGATCACCAGTCAAGACCACCAATTAGGAGTTCATCTGTATAATTTCACTTTTTTTCTTTTTAAATCTGTTATATACTTTGGCTCTTTGGATTTTCCTATAATGTTAAGGGCTGCAGGGTTATTGTCCTTATATTAGTAAATGACCCCTGACTGCTAAGTCTGTAGCCTTATTTTACATCTCACTGTAGTAAATGGTCTACTTCTACTGCCCCATTCCCACTACTAATTGCCTTGAACAGTCTAAGCCCTTCAAATTGTGTAAATTCCACACTGGGGATATAGCCATGAACACAACAGTCTCTGCCCCTGATGGATCTTGTAGCCTAGTCTTATTTCCAGCCGCACAGCTTTTCTGGTTACAGAATCTAAACAACACAGAAACTGAGGCAAGGGTAAACAGAAGTCATCCTCATTCCTAAAACTCAATTTAAGGCACCTTCTGTCTTAAAACATTTCTCCAAAACCCATTTCCTATTTGGAGAGCTATTTCAAAGGAGGTAGAATAGCATCATACCTTAGGGCTGAGATCAAAAGAGGTATTTTTCTTTCTCTATGTTCCTCCCCAGTAAAGATCTGGGGAAGGGGGAAGAGAAGCAGCCAAGCTGTTATAAAAGGACTAAAAAAAACCCCCAAACTCACTATCGTTGAGTTGACTGCAACTCATAGCAACCCCACCGGACAGAGCAGAACTGCCCTGTAGGATTTCCTAGGCTGTAAATCTTTATGGAAGTAGACTGCCACATCTTTCTCCCTTGGGGAAGCTGGTGGGTTCGAACAGCTGACCTTTCAGTTAGCAGCCAAGCACTTAACCACTGCACCATGAGGGCTCCTTTATAAAAGGATTTTCCCAAACTGTAAACCCTACCAATACTAGTGCCCACTTAAAAACAAAAAGTAAAAAAAAAAAACTGGGGGAGCACTAGTAGGGTTTACAGCTTGCGAAAATCTACCTAAGGACAGCCTGTAAGGGTTTTATCTGTTTGGGATGAACCTTAGAGGACAAAGAAGGAAGAGGACCCAGAGCAAGCCTGGGGAAAGCAAGCAGGATGCTGGGTGCTTGCAGCAAGAGTCTTAACTAAGGGAGACAGGAAATGGAGACTGTCATGCTGTAGAGGACAGCTCTGTTTGGGAGTAAAGAATAATACAGGTGGCTGAAGAATCCCTTGTGTTATTTTTGGAGCCTGAGCACGGGGGTAGGCAACTGCTGCAGCCTCAGCTTCCTATTCTAAAAGGCAGTTCTAGTCTTTTGTTTATCCTTAAATATTCCAAAATAACTGTATCAGTCGACTGCAGACATTAAGAATTAAGGAAAAATAAAGAGGTCGGTTTCCTTCTAACCCCACCATAAAGCATTTCCATGTAGGGTATTTAACTACCCTTTCTTTTTCACGTGTGTATGTTAGGAGTGGGAGGGAGGGATC